ACCCCCACCCCGCCTTTTGCTGCGTAATGACGAGTAGCGAAAGAGATAATAATTCAACATTTTCAGCCTTGGCTGCTAGTGACAATTGTGATTCTGATTCGAATTCATCGTTAACATTTTGGTTAGGCTGGAATCACTCGCAATCTTAGCAGCAAATATCGATTTTTATCGGCTACAAAATGGAATCGTGTGTCAAACCGGTCAATTTGTTACTCAGTGCACTGAATACACTGGCCATTCGAGTTAAACTACTTTCATATCATTTCGCTATCTATTGTTAAGTATAGACATAGAGACTGACAAGTAAGTGATAAAAAGCAACGCTCTGGTTTGAAAGGGAAACTTCAGTCTTTTTTTTCGGGATATCGTAATTCTGTTGAACCTTTGGGACACGTTATATTGTCGCCGTAATTTATATCAATACATGTACATAAACTCTTACCTCAGGTGGAATTCCTATTCAGTAGCATTCAAGAAATATTGAACCAAACATATATTGGTATGACTTTTTCCACTGAAGGTGAATTTCCTCGGGAATTCTTGAATACTTATGTGTGTACTGACTCCCGAGTACAAAACAAAAATGCAACTGAATAATGTCGATGTTACAACGACAGAATCTTTAGGAGTAATGATAAGCTTGATTAGTCCAGTAATCAAACCATACAATAATCATTAATGTGTATTTATTTAAATATTTCCTGTCCCATCTGAATTTGGAAGGGAGTTAAATCAACTTGTTAGTAAATTTATGAGTGATTACATCCCTTACTCGTTTTAATATTCCATAAAACTAAAATATAGATCTGCATTTAGACAAAATTACAGAACAAATGATATCGTCTATTTCTGAGATTGCAGTATTATTTGTTCAAGCCTTTCATGTAAGGCACTTAGATACCCTTGCCTATTAAGTGATCGTATGGCTTCAAATTAGTCTTGAGATATGCTTTGTCATCGCGTGTTTGTTGTTTTGTGGATAATCTTTTTCATCCAAGATATTTTCTCTGTTTTATTTTTATTAATAATTGCTGTAATTTTTGTACCACTAGTTTATATAATAATGATAATTTGTTGTCTCAGAAGTTCATTCAAATGTTACAAATTCACAAAAATAGATTTTTCCATAAAAAGATATCTATCATCTTCGACTTCTCGCAAGGAATCTATTACTCAGTTTGAATAAATCATTTAAGTTTGATGTTTTTCGATGAATACCTACTTGAGGGTAATAAAATTCATAATTTCATTATCTGTTCGATTTAATATTCATGTGCATAGTCATCAAAAATCAAAAGCTATGAGCATTTCCAACAAACCAATCCTGCAATGGATTGATCTTACCGTTCATTTAAGTAGCGATGATGCAAATGACATGGCATAAGACATGGAAATCTGCAAAACTAATCACGGCTTAACGTATGAGCAAGATTGACAAATCCTTAACATTAAAATCTGGGATCAGAGGGATCCAAACGGAGGTTACTGTTTTCAAACCATGAGGTCTACCGATAGTCTTGGGGTAGAATCGCAAACAGGTAGCATGGACCCTCAAACCGGAATTAAATGACTTTGGTATTTTTTTGCGATAGGACTACACATGGAAGAGATGCTCAAAACGAAATCTATATGGCCAAGTGAATAAGAAATTTAGACAGAAGCGAGACTGCATTTTAAGTAAAACAATAGCAACAGTGAGAAAATTGTCTTTCATTGGTCATTGAATATAAGTGTAAATGTGAAAAAGAGGGAGCGAGAGGAGAGATGGGATAGAAGAAGACGAAGATATAAGGATGAGAGAGCGGGGAAACAGAGAGAGAAATATAGAAAAAGAGAAAAACGAAAGAAAAGATATATATATAGAGAGGGGAATTAGAGAGGGCGAGATAAAATATCGAAAGAAAGGGACAGAGAAGAAAGAGAGAAATACAGAGAAGAAGAGGGAAAGGAAGAGAAAAGAAGAGAGGAAAAGCGTCCTGTTACGGTGTAAACATGGCCGCTGCGCTAGTAGAGAGCAACCAAGAAGAAACCACAGTTAAAAACGTAGGACATACTGGGTGCGATGGGTAAATTGTCACCTGTTTATATTTTTCATTGTGCGCATGCGCGTTGTTTTTTTTTTATTTTGTTTTTGATTGCACAATATAGTAGGGTCGGTTGGGCAGCTTTTGTGTAACAGGGCTCAATGACGCAATTCACTAGGCTACAAATTTGGAAACAGCTTGTTGTACTACTTGGCATTCGCGCCGGAAGCTCTAATTTGATCATTTCCAGGTATTTGGGTGTCAGTCTGAGGATAGAACAGAAAATTCCGAACGAATTGAATGAGTCTAATGATGATTACGAATGTACAATACTCTGAAAGTTAACTCTAATCGTTCTAATAAGAAAAGAACTCCCGAATTTGTGAGTGAGCGGCTCTGACTCAACACAGAGGCTTACATTTTTTTCTTAAGCGTTTCACCTCAAGCAAGGAGGGAAGCAACTAGCACGCAAGTGGTTACAGAGAGTTGGAGCGAGAGCAAGTAGGAGTGCTAGAGGAAAGAATGAAGAGAAGGATAGGGGATAGATCAAGGCATCTGGAGACATTACATTTGAATAGTTGGGGATTATAGCTATCAGAGAAACAGGGGAGGGAGTTCCACAGGCGAGAGGTTCGAGACATGAAGCTATTGGTGTAGAAGAAACGGCTACATTTAACAGTTTCGACAGTGAAAGGGTGAGAGCGAGATGCCAGCCTAGAAGAACGCTTAAATTCATGAAGTCTGGGAACCAGCGAAAACACCTCATCGGAGCAGTTACCGTGAAAGTATTTGTAAAAAGGACAGAGGGAGGCGACGGCACGTCTGTGAGAGAGTGACTGCAGACGAGATTCCAGATCAGGGCCAATTACATTGCATATCCGTCTTTGGATTTAATCAAGGAACTTGAGACAAATAGAAGAGACTCCAGTTCATATATGGCAGCAATACTCCATGCAAAGGCGAATGGTTGATTGTAGATTTGAAGGCTCGACTCCGACGAGAAAAACTTCCGGGCGTGGCACAGGGAGCCAACTTTCCTAGCGGTAGACGAAGCTATTGACTCAATGTATTTGTTCCATCTCAGGTCAATAGACAATTTGAGACCGAGTAGTCGCAAAGAGCTTCTCTCGTGGAGTTGAGCATCAGACATTCTAATGGGAGGTAGGGAAGGATCTCTGTGGTGATTAATAGAGAGCAGTTTTGTTTTTGAGGCGTTAAACCAGCCAATTCCTGTCCCAGTCCACAACCGATTGGAGGTCATTTTCGAGACGCACGGCCAGGTTAGTTTTGTCAGCGACACTAGATTTGTTTTTGAGGCAGGAGTAAATAGTACTGTCGTCTGCATAGATGCCTACATGGTAACCTTTGACATCAGCAATATCGTTAATGAAGATAAGGAACAGAGTAGGGCCTAGGATGGAGCCTTGTGGTACACTTGCGTTTGTGGGATAGTAACTGGAGGCGAATCCATTGAGAACGACCTTCAATACACGGTTTGACAGGAATTATTAAGACAAACAATCAAGCTGAAATTCAATAATTTTGTAGCTTGTGAAGAAGACCGGTATGTCAAACCCTATCAAATGCTTTAGAGATATCTAGGATCACGACACGAGCTTCTCTGTTATTATGAAGTGCTTGATAAACAATTTCAGTGATGGCCGTAAGCACATCAGCTTTAGAACGGGTAAAGCGGAAACCATATTGTTTGTCGGAGAGCAGATCATGAAATGTAAGGCGCTTTGGCGTTTATTAAAGCGTCGAAGACTTTGCTGAAGAGTGGTAGGAGACTAATAGGACGTTAATTAGAAGGGTCATAATGGTCTCCGAGGGTCTTAAAAACAGGAACAATGGATGAGGACTTCCAACAATCTGGAAAACAAGATTCATCGAGGCAGTAGTTATATAATTTGGAGAGGGCAGGGGCCAGTTCAGGCGCACATTTCTTCAGGACAATGGCTGGTATCGCGTCTCGGCCACTAGTCTTGTGGGGGTCTAATTTAGAGATAATGCCCAATACCGATGACAGGGTTATGTGCAACTCCATCAATAGAGCCTCGGTTCTAAGCGGGGAAATCGGGTGTGGGTACACCGGAAGAGTCGAGCGTTGTATTGAATGAGAATTTCCAAGCAAAACATTCAGTCTTGTAAGCAGAAGAGGTCAGAACCTCAAACTGGTTGAACAAAGGGGATATAGAGGTTTTTATATTGTTAAGTACGCTCTTGCAGAGACGCCAATAATCCTTGGAGCCGAATTTGCGAGATGCAATACGTTCTTTCATTCGAGCAGCAAATAGTGACTTTGCTTCATTGAGGAAACGCTTGCACTCGTTTCGGGCAGAGACAAAAAGACGTCTGTTGCAGTCAGACATGTCGCTATGGTATAGGCGGAAGAAGTGATTCCTATGGGCAATGACAGCTGAGAAAGCAGCGGAGAACCAATGAGAGGAACGCGATTTGTGTGACACCATTTAGGGATGCAAGGAAAAGGGAGAAAAGAAGGGAAGGAAAAAGAGAGGCGAGAGTTAAAAAAAGAACTTAGATGATAAAAGAAAGCCATCACAAAAGGGACATTTAGCGATGTTATTTTGATAATGAAAAATGGTTAAGGGTTTCATTGCCATTGTCGAGAATTCTAAATAGATAAAAATTAACTGTGTCGTGGTGGCGGACTTATATTATCGGGAATGGATAACAGCCACTTGGTGCTAGCGAAAATCTAATTGACGAATTCCAGGTCGGCTAGCTGGCATCAGAGGCAGAATTCTAACTGGATAAACATTTAACTGTGTCACGGGAATGCCATTTGGGGCTTCCACAGAATTCTAAAGAGATAAAAATTTAATAGGTCGCCTGTTGACCACACACGAGCTGAAAAAAAAAAACAACAAAGAAAATAGGTTAAATCTTTGTCAATGGAAAGATATCGTTAGACAAGGTATCTGGGTTGTGTTGAAATCTGGCGGTGACAGCGAAACTATTTTATTAGAAAAATGGCGAAGTCGTCCATTGTATCAGTGGTTGGCGGCGAGAAGCGAATGCGTCTGTTTGACCACCCACTTGATAATTGGCGAAAATCTGATTGACGAAGTCCAGATGAAAGTGACTTTGGGATAGGTATCGAGATTATCACACTACGGGTCGTATTGTTTTGTTGGCGGCTAGAGAGGAAGAGAGAAAAGAAAAGAAAGAAAGGAAATAGAAAAAAAAGAAAAAGAGGAGATAATTTTTTTTCTTTGAGCAAGATATTTTTTAAGAAACAAGGCTAGTCTGGTCACACCCACACTGTTGATCGGCCATTGGATGAATGCTAACGAGAGCCAGGTGGAGGTGATCATGTGATGCAGGGGGGGGCTGCTACCACTCATTAAGAGGATAGGATGAGATGTTACTGCGAGGGAGTAGGAAAATCGTTAACGCCCTCTGAGGGCATGGTAAGAGAAGACTTCCAAAAATGGAAATAATAAATTTGTCCTGACCGAAAACAAAAGAAGGGGATTGTGGATTTGGAATTATCAGGGAACCTCAAACCCCGACAAAGCCCATCCCTGTTTTGGTCGGCGAGCGAGCGAATATCAGTTCAGTTCCAGAGTTTCCAGTTCGCAGTTGAAATGGGTCCCGCCTCGCATTAGCTGACTAAGATTCGCCCAACTTCCGAACTCATCTTCAATCCAAGAACAATTTATTTTTGAAGAGCGACTTAGATTCATACCACCAAAACAAGTTTTACGACTATCCCCTGAAGACACACCAAGAATCAGTTTCTTAAAGAACAGACAACTTAAGATGTTAAGACTCGCCTAACAAAAACAACGTGTCACGAATCCATTTAGCGGATCGGGAGATAGACGCAGTCCTATGTATCCAGCAACCAGATATAAAGGGTTATTATCCTTTTTTTGATACCTTTGAACTTTGTGAGTTATTATTTTATTTTATTTTACATCTATTTGTGCGATACCAACCTTATTCGAACTCGACTTGCATTACGGCCCCGAAGACTGATTAATTTCGTCTGCCTAAGATCAATTCACAACGTGGGTAGGCAGACTGGAGATCAAAGTAGTTACTTCGGTAACCAGACGTTGGAGGCGAGTTGAGAACGACGAGGCTGATATCGAATCTAACCTGATTCCCATCCGAATCACCAAAAAGTTTGAACGTCACATTTGGGTGCCGCGATCAATACCAAGCCAGTTGGTCGTCACAGGACGGGATAGCACGACTGACGCAGACAGGAGGACGTCACGTTTGGAGCGGCGACACCCGAACGAAGCAGCGAGGTACGAGCAGGGCTGGGGACGTCACATTTGATCTCCCTGAGTGGTTAAAAGCCTCGATTTCAGCTTTAACACTGGAGGAGACATCGGAAACACATTCTTGAACATCATGTATGTTGAGGAGGTAGTGCCTCTCTGGATCAAGAGGCTGGCTGCTGGAAGACCCTATGTTTGGCAATAGGATTCTGCAACATGCCTCGCAATGAGAACAAAGTCATGGCTGTTAAGCAATATCTGCGACATCATCCCTCATATCTGGCAACCTAACTCCCAAAACATCAACTCCTTTGTTTATTATGTGTGGGGTGCAGTTGAACGATAGACCCCAAAACTCTTTTTAACATCAAAGATACACTGAAAGCAAGGATTATGGCAATATTCCCAAACTAAAAGTCCTCTTGATGCAGTGTTTTAAACCAATGGCGATTTTGCTGAATAAATTTATTCTTCAGCATTTCAAGATATTTTGTTGTATAATTTTGGTAAATATATCTGTTAAAATTAAGTGTCATTATAATTTTAATTTTTGCATAATTTAGACGACAATTTATCCATCGCACACTGAGCATTTATATATATATATATATATATATATATATATATATATATATATGGGGGGGGATAGTTGTGTGTGTGTATTCTCTATGGATTTTGACGGAAGCTGAATGCAATGCCTATGGGAGATTAGTCTCCTGGTAAGGTTACCCATTGCATAAGGATTCTGGGAAGGAACAATACTAAGCACGCTCTAACCCCAGGCGCGTAGGCGGTCAAGATGACGTTCTGCGAATGTGAATGTCGGCAGCCCGATGCCAGCTGTCATTATGAATCTGCCTGTCAAGCCCAGGTTTGCCGCAAGGGATTGTGTCAGCTGAGGTGTGTGTCCCATGAAGTGTGACACGTCGGGCACTACGAAGAATCGCAATCAGTTTTTTTTTTTCTCCTCAAAGATTTTTCTTCAGTTCAAGTCCTATTCAGAAGAAGAACAATCCACGAAAAAAGCATCTTCGAAAACACCAGAAACCAAATAGTGGGGGTTAAGTGAGTCCTCCCAAAAGTATTAATTCTTCATCCCCGCAAAGCAGCTAACTTTCCATGCTTTGGCTGTAGACGTCTCTTCTGTTCCAACATAGATCTCATTTGACACAAAAAGGAAATGTCGATTAGTATCACAACACACAGCAAAAAGGTCTCTCAATGATAAGAACCATATACATGTGGTCATTTCTCTCTCTCTCTCTCTCTCTCTCTCTCTCTCTTTCAGACACACACACACACACACACACACACACACACACACACACACACACATATATATATATATATATATATATATATATATATATATATATATAACAAAGACATAACTATCAAACGAGCAGACAAGGGTGGTTTAATCACCATTATGGACAAGAATACATATCTCGCAGAAGCGGAAGCTCAGGTCAATAATCCATGTTCTTATATAAAAAAAAACTCCCACAAAATATTTACGTCTGAACTCCGCCCTCTAATCAGCCATCTAGACCAGGGAATACAAGCACTAATCAAGCTTTAATTCAGGAAACTCCCAAACCCGGCACATTCTACACCCTTCCCAAATTGCACACACTTACTCAAATAAAATAACCTGCAAAACTTTTTTTTAAGTAGCAGAGTCTTCCACGACCACCGTATACTAGATATTTTGAACATTATATGTTTTATACTCACACACAACAACTTCCAGTTCAACGAGCACCATTTTCTTCAAGTTAGAAGCACAGCAATGGGAACAAAATGGTCCGCAGCTATGCTAACATTTTCATCAATACACTATCTATAATTTACAGCCAATACTTACGCATTAAACACACCTGTTCTCACAAGGAATATTACAACATACATATAGGACAACTTTGCAGTCAGTTTCTAAATAGGAATTAGCCATTCAAAATAATCAAAGAATCTATCACCAAATCTTCCGAACATAACAGAAACA